TCAACTTCATTTCTGTGTGCATTACTGCTAATAAATATTCCGGTGGCATAACTATAATTTTCAGGCGACATAACTTCAGTGCCTCGCATGCGATAGCAGGCCTTTTTGCGATTCCGGTCAACAGCCGACAGCCGGAGGAATTGGTTTACACTGATCTCGCGTTAATTCCAGGCTAGACCACCATTAAGTCGTGATTTTCAAATGGCCACGGTTACCATCAAATTCCAAAACAGTCTCAATTGGTATATTTGATTCACTTCGACCAGTTATCAATGCTGATTAAATCCGCTGAAAACCCAAGCCATTTTTATCACCTTAGCGGTTTTAGTAATCAAGCGTGTTCAGCGTGTCTTACCCAAATTGCACGCTAACCGTGCTATAATTCGCACACTTACCGTGACATATGGAACGCTACAAAACAACAAAAGGTCTAGCGTGTTAAATTTGCCAAAACAAAGGCAAGTGTGTCCGTCTTTGTTTTTTCAATTTAATATGCGCATATCCGTGATCTACGGCACGCTAAGCGTGTCGTGCAAGCGTGTCGTGCGCGTGCTTTCACCTTTAGCATCAAATTCCTGTGGAGGGTCACATTTGTAAAGTCTTATCGTTCAAAAAAATCTTTTCGCTTAATTAGTAGCCTGTTCACAGACCCTCTATTTTCTCTTCAAAGCCCTTCGAGCGCGCGTGATAAAATTTAAACTGCGGGGGATTTATTGACCGCCAGCGAAAAGTTGTAGGGAAAATAAAACAACGTCTGTGTACAAGTACAAAGAACGTTGTTGTCTGGTGTTCCCTTCCTCGACAAAACGTGAAATTAGACACTTTCACCTTGTAATCGCGCAGCGACGGCAAAGTAATGTACAAAAGAAAGTGATGCATGTGCAAAGTTGTTGTTTTGCCAATCTAAACGTATTGCTTTTTTGCCGTTCTCATCGCAGTGGCCGTCATCGTTTCTTAAGCTCCCCAATGATAGGTGCGTAATATCACCTTAAAACTAAACTTCGTTTGATTAAAAAACCGGAAAGCATAGTCCGAGACTTCCGTTGCCATGGTAGGAATGACGTAAGCTTGACAAATCTTTCCGCTGACAAGCTATGCTATTTTCTGTTTTCTGGGAAACAAACCTAGCATGGACTTCAATTCAACTGCTCTGCTATATAAGAAACACCGTTAAAACAGTAGGCTCGATTTCCGCCGTCTCCCGGGTCCGGTCTTTGATCCTCCCCGAAGAGAGACGGCAGGACGCGTGACCCGTTGACCTTGTCGGTGACGTAACTGAAAAAATGATAAATTATGCGTCTCCTATGTCGCCGGAAGTGAAACCGGACTCCAATTTTATTGTCTATTTGGCGCGAAATTGCATCACGCGTTCCCGTGCCCACCCAAATGACTTTCGAAATTGTTTTTTCAGTACATTTCCGTACATTGTGAAATAGATTATTCGATACATTTCTGTACATTGCGACATGTTGTCAACTGTCTTTGATCTTCGAATGGATAGTAAAGGTAAAAGCGACGATACTCCGAAAAAATTTAACTCGAATAATAGTGGATGCGTCTTCTGTGGGTCCGAACTGACAGATTCTCGGAAGCGGACAAAATTAAATGGAAAAGTTTCTGATTTGCCAGGCAGGATTTCCACCGTATTGAATGTTCCTCTGTCAAGTGTAAATGTGGACGGTTACATCTGTAATGAACGCTGTTATCGAGATCTAAAGCGCCTCGAAAAGATCCTTGAGGATGCAAAATCTCTCCAACAATCATTGCAAGAAAAGTTCACAGCAAACAATCGAACAAAACGTTGTGTTCCTTCAGACTCCAGAATTTCGCCAAGTGTCTCCGCGCCGTCAAAATCGCTTCGCCACGCGACGGATTAAGGAAGGGGAAAGGCTGCAAAATGCTTGTCATTCGCAGAGATTCAACCAAAACCAAATCGAAGGCAAACCCTACGCTGTTAAGAACGGCAACGAAGGACAGCGTTTTAAATTTCTCTTGGCGTGCCATAGGACAAGAAATTCTTGAAAAGTCGCCGCTATTTTATCGTCTTCTCTTGGCTTCGGCCGATCCAAAGTCACTTTCTAAAAGCAGCGACCCTGAAAGAACTGAAAGGTACCTGGTATTTGTACTGTGGCCGCTGTCTTGCTCAAAAACCGCGACAAACTCATGAGCTTGGTTCATTATGTCATCAGCACCATTCTCAAGGTCGGAAGGACTTGAAAACGGGTAAGCACAAAGTTGTTTGTTTTCCTCGCTGTTGTTTGATAACCAGTTATTAAACATACTTGAATCATAAACATTATTTCAGTAATCATGGTCCAGGACGTTATCAGTTACCAATAATAGTAATTTCCCGTATGGCAAACAACATACTGTAGCTCATTTGTTATTCAAGAGTTTTTTCATTTTTTTGAAAGAAAATTAAATTAATGGGTTTCTGAGAGTCCATAATACGTTGTTTATGATCGTGCTTCCAAAAATATCCATAAACATTACAAATTTCAAGTTCAAGAAATTCTTAACAGCCAAACTCAATTAATAATTTACTAAGTTATAAGCGAAACTGCTAATTTCTAGATAGGTGACAGCTGAAATGATGATGACGATAATAATAATAATAATAATAATAATAATAATAATAATAATAATAACATTCCAGAAATATTTCCGGTGTTTACAGTTTTTCCGGTTTTATGTAAGTATGCAAGTCAGAGAGGAATAGCTCATCACTGTCACATAGTGTGTCTCAATAGGAAAAATTAATGGAAATATTTTTTTTCCTGTCAAATTACTGCATTTGAGAGCTACTATAAGAAACCACCTCTCCTATGTGATCACATTAAGTGACATTTCGAGAGAATGTTTCATTGAAATATAAATGAAACAGTTTATTTAGCCACACTTTTTCTTCTTTTATCCAGTTATTTTTTTCTAGGTACTACAGCGGTTCCTCAGCATCTGACAAGACTTCGCTGTTTGCTTTCAGAAACCTTGTAAACTGGCACGATGTGGTCAGTGATGCCCAGCAAAAGCCTGCTCCATGTAAGCGAATTGCGAATTTGGTGTTGCATGCAAGTATCATTGCTGCAGCCCTTAAGTTCTTTGGCATGGAAACAACAGAAGACACACCCACGAAGCACAGTATCAGCCCAGAATTAGCAACAGGACTCAAAGGAGCTGAGTCACGAAATTCAGGCAAATTAGGAAATTACAAAATGCCCGTTAAATTGAGAGAAACATAAAAATAACCGCTTAAAACTTTAAAGGAAGGTTAAAATAACATAAAAGAAACAACAGATTGCACGGATGGGCAAACCTGAAGAAGATTGAAACGGATTGAAATTAGGGTTTTTGAAAACTGTTCAGCCCAACAGTTTTTCAAAGTTGATCCCTGCTGCTTGCAACTTCAAAAATAATGCTCAGGAGACATATTTGTTTGTCTCAGATCTCTGATTTTGTCATTTACATGTAATTTCTTTGCATACTTTAAGTTCCATAGCGATTGAGGGCGAGTAATTGGCAAACTAAACAAAATGAACTAGACTGCCATGACACAGCCCCTTCAAGGTGGTGTGTTAACGTTTCTTTTATAGAGTGATCAAAGAATTCATTCAAACCCATGTAGTTGATGGAACTCTCTATGAAAATCACTTCAACAATATTCAAGCACTACAGGAATGGGAAACAGCCCAAACTAATCAGCCTATACCTCCAAATGGCAGGTACCCCTGTAGATTTCTAGGGTGTTCCAGCTCATTTAAACATGATGGAGTCCACAAGATGAGGCATGAACTGTCTCATGACCCCCCACCCACCATTCCTGAGGAACCAGTACTCGTTAATACTGTGCCTGATCCCACTGATCACACTTCATGGATGCCGTAAAAGAGGGTGATGGTGAAAGGATAGTGAGATGCATCAAGATGTTTCTTTTACATTTCAAAGACGATGGCAGTGGCAGCACCAAGTATGCTTTGGAGGCTTTGTTCCACATGTTTCAACTGTATGCCTTGCTCAGTCCTAGAGAAGCAGAAAGGATGAAATGGAACAGAAGAGTCAACAATCATGGCCAGCCAGGATGTAATGTTGCCATGGATCTAGCCTTGGAACATGACAATCATTTGATCAAAGATATGATTAGAGGTCTGGGAGCTAATATCAGTGAAGCTAGTGTCCGTAGAATTTGTAGGGCATTCTTTGTCATCAAAGCCTTTTTGGAACACCTCGACCTAGAGGTGAAAGTTAAGAAGATCTCAAGTGAACAAGCGTTCAAGGGCCATTATGGCCCTTTCCTTCTTTAACTCCCTGAGCTTACAAATGTCTCTGTTACTTCAAGTACAATAATTTTCCCATTAAACAGAATCTTCAATCTAAAGAACAACTCCGTACCTTTGTACACAACATGAAAATCAATCGATGAATCTTCTTGAGTTTACCTGATTTACAGTGAGTGGTCTGGAGACCACTGAGCCTCAACTTGGCTTTTGTAATATCGCAAGAGCTCATGGGTATCCATCATGTGGTCTCGAAAAAGGATGAACCTGACAAACGCATCTTCGAGGTCTATCGAAGGTTTTTTCTCAGTAAGTAATGAAAAAGTGGATGGAGGCGAAGCAGTTCAGAAGAAGCGAAAGGAAGCCGGATCTGGACGGTGAAGTGGAACATGAGATGAAAAAAATTACTTACTATGTTTATTGCATACATTCTGATTGTACTGTTTGCTTTATTACCGAAGATTTCATCTACTGTGTATAAAAAGGGATGCTCCATGTCACCTTCAGATAAACTGCCATTTTCATTTCCTTAACTTTCCAACTGTTTCTTTTCTTTTCCATATTAGAAAGAGACTGGTACATTGGCCCTGTCTTGAAATATCTGGCCCCCAAAAATGGGTTGTAGGGGCCACTTTGGCCCTCAAGCAGAATTTTCTAGCTGGAACACTGAGTACAATACAAAAGGACAAGAGTCAAAGTACAGAGGGAAATGCAAAAGGGTGAATAGACTTACCAGTGAGAAATACAGTGAGCTTCACCAACTGCAACCAAACACAACCTCTTTTTGTAGGCATCCTTGCTGAGCATTGCCCACCATCTTGTGGTAGACAAAAATGTCTCGGGTGAGCCATACACGATTTGGCATTCCCCGCGTTCTAGTTGTTGCTTAGCCTCTTTGCTTTCCTGTTCATCCCCTATAAACTCGGCCTTGATTGCCATAGACTTAAGGTAACGCACTTGGTCTTGCATAAGAGATGCCAGGGGAGAAATCACAAGTGCAATAAACTTCGCATTCGACAAAGGTCTTACTGTGTCGAAGACGATCGGTGTGGACTGAAAATTAATGATTTTCCAGACCCCATTGGCTGAATAATAAACACATCCTGACCTTTAACTAGGTTTTGCAGTGCCTCTCGCTGAGAATCTTTTAAATTTTGAAGTTTAAAGGACTCCAAAACTCGCTCGAAAGCCAAATATATCTTATCCACATAGTCCGCCATTTTGACAACTCTGTTTTGATGTGATAATTTATGCGACAATCCTTGCCAGATGAAAATCTGCAGGCGGTAACATGATTCAGGGGTTTCATTAACTCTCAAAGTAGAAGGGGATGTGAGGTAAAGTAGGCAGGTTCCCTAAATAGCAAGGGCCAGAGGCCCAAGCTTCTAGGGGGGTCCAGGGGCATGTTCCCCCGCAAAATTTTGAAAAATGTGACTCCCAGGAATGCATTTTCCTGCATTCTGGAAAGGAAATTATCCTTTTCTTATCACTCCTCATTTACCCAGTTTACGACAAAAAATTTCATTTTGCTCTCCAAGAATTTGTTTATTCAATCTTCTACTGTGTTAAATAATAAAAAAAGCTAGCAGTGAAAAACGTTTGCAATGCATTGTTTTGGGTTAAAAGTATTGTTATTAAACAGGATTTTATTTGGTGTTTGGGATTTCTTTTGGGAAACATATGCCACGTGTGTATTGTAAATTGGGTAACACCTTCCAGCTATTTTCACAGACAGAGCCAACATGGACAACAAGACACTAGAGTGCCTCCCTTACTTCTTACAAATAAACAAGATACAAGTCACTACAACTTAGTAAGGATGAGTGTAACTGACACCAGTATTTTAAGACGGAATCCATCAGGAAATTGAGTAATTTTAATTTTCAGTGGACAAAAATCTTGTACCAGAATAACACAAAGAACATTGCATTCCTTTTTACATTTTTCAAGGGCTCAAGATGTAATAAATCATCTGTAGTAACACCAAAGAAAATTTTTCATGGAAGTCCAAGAAAATAAATGTTGAATTTCACAACAATTGTGATTATACAGGTAAAATTCTAAAAATTTCATGTGCAAGATGTAATTTTGTGAAATTTGACATTCATTTTCTCGGGATAAAATTGCTAAATAAAATAAAATGTTTTCAAACCCAAGCATCATGGACCAATGCACACGTAAACCGGAAAACACAGGAACTTAAAATTTTAGTTGTAAGGTCAATGCACTCTATTTATTCTTTCTCAAATGCAAATCAGCGCTTATGTAAATTTCACTACATTGATATTGCAAAACTTTAAGTGTATTAAAATTCTAAAACTAACCTTTTGACCTTTTCTGGGACACAAAAAAATTATCTAGAATGCCTTGAGATTTTCGTTTGCTTGCCATGATGAACTTTTTATAAGCTGTTTCATAAAAGTCATAGAACACATGTGCTTCCAAACATGCAGCATGTCACGTGCAAGTGTTATGTAAGAGCCAAATATAACATTTGTAACGCGATCGAAATGAGAGAATAACGGACAACAAAGATCACTTTTCTTAAAGTACTAGTAAAAGTTATGTCAAGGATCTGATGCAAGACAATTGATAAAAAGGTTTTTTAAAGACAATATTCGACTTACATGGAAGACTAAATTTTTATTTTAGGCTGATTTTTTTCAGTTTCGTAACCGGGTACTCTGATCAAAGTAAACAGGTGCTGGTACCCGGGTCCCAGCTTCTAACGACAACACTGATAATTGGCTGAAACCAACAAAGGAAATCGCAAGCGTCCAGCCGCTCCTTTAGGAGGATGAGTGTGGGCTCATTTTCCTAAACAGCGGCTGGTAATCAAGCCTATTAAAACAGGAAATTAAACAAGTGTTCGTTCTTAAATTGAGAATTAAAATTTTTTTCACCACAAGCCATTTACTAAAAGTATTTTTTTCAAAGAACTTCTGAAAAAAACTGCCATCTTATGTCAAACTTGTCAATGTCAGTCATTGCACTTTGTGCATTCACTTTATATAAATGATTACTGACGAGCTGAAGGCTATACCTCGGGATCTTTTTTATTGATTGTACAACTGCAAGGGTTCCAGTTTAACACTAACCTCAAAGTTCAAAGAGTCTTGCCTGTGCATCTCACCGGCTTGCTGATAAATTTGCCTTAACATTTCCTAGAAAGAAAGTGACCACATAGTTTAATAGAGACAATACTAAAGACGTTTTAAACATAGCCCTGCTGTGCCTCGTGTCATAAATAGTGTTTGCAAATGCATACTCGCCATGCCTCATCAATCATTCAAGGAAACAAGGCAAGTGAATTGCACATTCCGAACAACTTTGTACATGCTAAAAACTACGCTGCCGAGAAACTTCTCATACAAAAAGATTTTGAGATGGGATCAAAATTCCCCAACACCCAAAATTTTTAGGTCCATTCGCCCTGAATAATCTTATGCTCTTATTACTTCGGCGGAGCGCGAAGTAAAGGATTCGCGATGCTCAGGAATGTCCCAAAGATGCTTTTTCTGGGACAAGATTGGGCATGTTATGTCGTTTTTGGTTTTATTAGGCTATTTGACGAAGTGAGAGATATCTCGAGATCACTTCGATTTCTTTGATTTATTCTTTAACTTATTCAAGGAAGAAAGAATTATTATTTTGATTTTCCCAAGGTTTGAACCGACTCACCTCTGTGACCCATCAGATCAGAGAGGAGACTCGCTAGCCGTTTGCGCCACTTCAAGTCAACAAGGTAATTTGCGATTTTGAAAAATAGCTATGAAATTATGCACTAGTTTCGCGACAAGATTGGGCGCGCAAGTTAGTGACTTTTCGATTTGTTTCAACTATTTCACGAAATTAGACCACAATGACTTCCAGATATCTTGAGATGACTTCGACTTTAATTTATTCGAGGAATAAATAGTGGATATTACATGGCCGCCCAGAGACACGAAATTTCTCTTCAAGTGTTGCAAAACATTTCACGAGTGAGCGCTCCTTTCGAACTGTTTTATGATGAATTTTAAGTTACAAAATGCTGTGCAAAGACGTTTTGTCTTTGCTGTCATGCGTTGCACAACTTTCATGAACGTTCTCGACATTTTTTGAATTATTCATGAATAATTAGTTTGCATGCACAACAGTTGCGCGTGCACTAGGGGAATGTTTACATTTCAGCATGAGTCAGCAGATTTGAATCAGTTACTAAAATGTATGTCGAAAAGCTACTACTATTCGCCTGTTTAGTATTTTCTAGAACCTTATGTCAACAGTATACAAGTTCCAAGCGAGTTGTTTTGACAAACTAAGTTTTTTCCCACGAGCTGTCTTGTTTAATATACAGTAAAAACCCATGAGTAAGAGGCTAAGATTTAAGGACCTGTTAGGCGAAAATTTGCAATTTAGACCCCCTCTATATAAGAACCTCTTTAGCCTAAAATTTGGAGAAAGGTTCTTACTTTCAAAAATCATTTAAGAAAATTTACTTAAAGAGAAATGGTATAATAAATGTATGATCAATCTGGATGAGTAGTTGCTGCATGTCAATTCTAATGTTAAAAATTATGACATGTATATAATTCTTAATTTAAATATAAATCAGATTTCCATGGCTGTCATAAATGAATGATGAACATTGAAAAGAAACCATCCAGTATGCAGTGAATTCAAGGTCCTCTGGAAATAATTTCTTGCAGTCAACTCACTTGCAGCCATGCAGTTTGTCCAGCAGTGTGCAGAGTAAGAAGAAGAAACAAGACGCTACGGAGCGTACACTTCGGCGTCACGGTTGTGGAACTGATTAATTGTAAATACGGAGGAATAGGAAGAAATGAAATATGGTAAGCCCAGTTACGCTCTGATGACTCCATACAAATCCTTCTAAATTTGACTTGGCTCTAAACGTTTAAACCTAAGTCAAATACGAGGTTACTGGCGGTGAATAACAAGTCTAACAAAACAAAGAGTGAAAAAAGACTTCTCTATTTTTCTTAGTCACATCAGGCTTCAAAAACAGCATAGCAGTCTCATGTACTGATTAAAGATATGTAAGGCATGGGTAAGGAGTCAATTATTACGTTGAGCATGGAATTGGCTAAAACTCATTGTTACAAGTTCGAATGTTTTGAGGATAATTATTCACTGACTATCAGCACTCAGGGATGTCGAATTAACACAAGGAAGTTTAATACCAAAGGAACACAGCCTTAACAGAGCTTTAAAACACAGCATCTGCCAACACAAACTTGACTTGAGCTTAAGTAAAACTAAATAGCCTCTGCCACTAATAACAAACTCTCACTCGAACTTCAGGTATCTAATGGCTTCCGCCAACTTGTGAACACAGAACTTGAAAATGGACCTTCGTCACACTTGACTACACACAACAGTCCAGCTCGTGGGAAAAAAACTTAGTTTGTCAAAAGAACTCGCTTGGAACTTGTATACCGTTTGACATAAGGTTCTAGAAAATAGTAAACAGGCGAATAGTAACTGATGCAAATCTGCTGACTCATGCTGAAATGTAAACATGCCCTAATTAATTAATCATGAATAATCCAAAAACATAAGAGAACGTTCGCGAAAGTCACGCAACGCATGAAAGCAATTTTATTACGTAACACTCAACAAAGACAAAATGTCTTTGTGCAGCAGTTCGAAAGGAGGGCTCACTCGTGAAACGTTTTTCAATACTCAAAGAGAAATTTTGTGTCTCTGCGCGGCCACGTAATATCCTCTATTTATTCCTCAAGTAAATTAAAAACTAAACTCGAAGTGATCTCAAGATATCACGAAGTAGTCCGGTCTCATTTCGTGAAATAGCCGAAACAAGCCGAAAAGTCACAGACTTGCACGCCCAATCTTGTCCTGAAACTAGTGCATCATTTCATAACTGTTTTTCATATCCCGAATTACCCTGGGTCGCAGTAGCGCAATCGGCTAATCCCTCAACTTAGAGTCTCCTTTGATCTGACGGGTCACACAGGTGAGTCGGTTTAAACCCCGGGAAAGCCAAAATAATAATTCTTTCTTCCTCGAAAAAGTTAAAGAATAAATCGCAGAAATCGAAGTGATCTCAAGATATCTCGAACTAATTCGGCTCTCACTTTGTCAAATAGCTGAATAAAACCGAAAACCTACAGACTTTGCGTGCCCAATCTTGTCAAAAAAAGGCAACTTTGATACATTCCTGAGCGTCGCAAATCCTTTACTTCGCGCTCCGCCG